CATTCAAATTTAGAAATAAGGATAAAACAAAACAAAAAAGATATGTATAAAACTTTATAATTAATTCCACTTCAAATTGTGAGCAGTGTATACCATGTTTATAGGACCACTTCATAAGTTGAGCAGTTAAATACGTAGTCTATCTGCCAAACACGTTAAAAGAGAGAGAAAGAAAATTTGGTCCCACCACATCAAAAGAGCCGACGGTTTCTGTCGCTACTCGGCAATCTACGTACTCTGACCGGGAGGGGATGGCGTAAAAATTCCTAATGGGAATTTTTCCTACTGCGCCAGATTTCTGGGAGAACCACATCTGTCCTAATGAGCATCTGTCCTACCAGTTGTTCGGGTAGAGTCGTCCACCCGAACGCGTCCCGAACGTTAAAAACAGCGTTGTCAGCTTGTCGCATTTTCAAGAAGCAATTAACAAAATTTTCTGTATCGGAAAAAGAGTGTAAGGTATTTATATTATGTAAATATAAAATAAAAATAGACTAGAGACTTAATTAAGACTTTATTGACATATTTAATAAATAATTACAAGGTTTTATCTAAATTATTTTTCTTGTGTGTTTGGTTGCCTATACCTAATTCTAAAATAGTTTATATTATGCATTGTTTTGTTTTTTTATTCTCACAAATAAGAAATAAATGTTTTATAGTTTATATTATAAAAAATCAATGATTATACATTTTATTTACACCCCTTACACTGTTTTGTGTACTACCAAGAGTATATTTCGTGACCTCTTATGATAAATGGGCACAAATAGTTTTATTACTTAATGCTTAGATTAAAATATTTAATCTATGATTAAAATTTAATAATATATTTGTACATTAAATATAATAGACTAGAGGCCCAATTAAGAGTTTACTGACATAATTACTAAAGTTCATCTAAAGTTACAAGATTTTTTTATATGTATTTTTGGTTGCCTATGACAGGCGAGGGCAGGCGTTTATTTAACTCACAAATAAATGTTTTATGGTTTTTATTATAAAACAAGGATTAATTTATTATACACCCCTTACACCTTCACAAAGATTCCAAGGGGAATATGTCGTGACCTCTTATATTAAAATGGACAAGGTTTATTAGTCAATGTTTTAGTTACCCATCAGCGTCTTTAATAAAAATCTAATGTATTCTATCTAGTGTATTTTTCATAGAAATGATCTGACATCATAAAAAGCAAATTTTATCAAAAAACTTTTTGATTATCTATATTGTTTAACTTGTAGTTTAACCTAACTTGCACATAATTTTTTAATTTAAAAGCAATAATTTTTTTTCTTGACAATATGGTGAACTTTAATATAACTAAACTCACTTTATAACTTAATTTTTGTAATATTCGTTTTTTAGCAATTAGAGTAAAAATTAATTAGGATACAATTTCTAATTTGAAAGATATATGAAATTTCATCAGTTTTTCCAATTAAATAAATATACAGGTTTTCTAAAAATATCTAATTTACTTATTATTTTGACATATCTACTAACTTTAATTTTTTTTGTTTTTAGGTATTTATGTTCTTTTTTAAAAATAAATTAAGAATGATTCAGAACCACGGATGTGTGTTCAGAACTGACTCCTTTCGGCCCAATTTAATTAGATATGTTATAAAACTTACAAATAAATGATTTTTTTTTCAAACGCAACAAAAGTATTAATTTTGGCGACGTGATTGATAAAATAAAAGTAATTTAATGCCTAGGCATAAAAATAAAGCACTTTTACGCATAAGCACAAAAGTACGAAAATATATTATTAAACTGATATAAAGTGTCAAATTCAACGAGTGTAACCATAGTTTCTCGATATAAGTACCGTATGATCGAATAAAAACGGCCTCAGCGATGGCTATGAAATGAAGATCGCTGTCATTTTATATGTAAATTTATATGGGAAATGTCATCGATTGTCATTTCATAGCTATCGCTGACGCCGTTTTTATTCGATCATACGGTATAATTAGTTACAAGGTATTACTTTTAAATCTTGTTATATTATTTGCAAAGTTTGAAATTGTTTAAAAAAATATTTGTGACGTTTGAAAAAAATAGCATGACCTATTCGGAGTAAAAATGACGGTTTGTGCCTATGGCCTGTAATGAAATAAATTATTTTATAATATGAAAAATTGTTTACCTTTTTATTTTTTATAGATTATTGTCAAAAAAGTGATTGGGTGCAGTATTAGTAATAAGAATAATACACAATGGTCACAGTGGTCGGCTATGAAATAATGATTGCTGTCATTTTATATTTAAAATTATATGGGGAATGTCATCGATAATCATTAACAAGCTAACTGGACGCCGTTTTTTTTCGATCATACAGTACTATACAATTGAAAAAAAATTGCTGCTCTTCCAGCTGTTTTTTTTTTGATTTTACAGTATTTATATATATTTATATGTAATTTGTTTTAATCAACTTTACATATTACGGTTTTTATGAATTCCTTTGCTCACATATTTTGTTCTTATTATTTTACCGGTTTTGTCTCAAGGCACTCAGGCAAGAAATACCTAATTATTAATGTTAAATTATTATTAACTACTTTTAGGGGTCGTTACAGGTAGTCTTTGCTATACACAGAATAACTAATTAACTAGTTACTTTACTACGAATAAGCTCTCCATAGTCTTTACTTTCACTCTCATTAACATAATTGGAATAAAGTGAAAAAGAAATTTCTGTAAATTTCAGAATTTTCCCTTTTTATTATTTTCTTGACAATTTGGAGATCTTTTTTTATAAAGTACTTTTTTATAACTTTATACCGTAATTTTGTAATTTTAATAAATAAAATGTTTTTTAGCAATACAGAGTATTGCAACCACAGCTGCAACTTTAAGATAGATATTTTTTTCTGGTTATATTTGAAAAATTAATTCAGATCGATACATTTTTTTAGTTTGAAAAATATTTGAAATTCTATCAGCTTTTGCAATTTAAAATACAGGTTTTCTAAAAATACCTTAACTTATTATTTTGACATACTAACTTAAATCATTTTTGCTTTTAGGTATACTCGTTCTTTTTTAAAAATAAATTCATATTGATTCTCAGACTGATTAAAAATATTTTAATCTAGAAAGATAATAATACAAATAAATATACTTAAAAAAATATTTATTACATAGAATAGGTATACTAGAGTTGGCATTTCAGGCCTTGGGTGCCGATTTTTGTGTGTATGAAGAGTACGGTCAACACGCTTAGTAAAATAAGATGTGTACTATTTGTATTTGGCAGAATAAGTTGTGGATTTTGTTTCTGAAAACAATAAATTTATTATATTACGACTTTGCTGCACACATGTATGGATAATTTATTTACCTTTATGCTTTAATGTTCAGACTTTACTGTAGTTTACGCTGCATCATTCTAAATTGTTCCCGAAGGGTATCCTGAAGACTTTATACATTTGTCCTACGTCAGATATTTTTCTGTAATCTTATATCATTGTCCTGACAAGATCTTCTAAATAAAGTATTCGAAAATACCCATGTTCTGTCTAAGCAGGTTTTTTTATCCTAGAGCTTAATATTCAATAAATCTACAAAATAAATGAGTTAACGAGGTTATAAATAGAAAACAAAAATAAATGCCTTTATAGGATCAGTCCTCTTAAATGTGCTATGTGATACACGATTGATACGATTTTCATGTATATGAAGAGTATGGCCAATATGCTTATTACAATCAGATGTATTGAACTTGGTATTGAATGCATAGGAAATCATCAGATTAAGTGTGGTTATGTAATAAATATTTTATATTTTTCTATCTCCGACCAGATCACCATAGCGATTCACACCTACACGCGTAAACACCAACCTAAGGCTTGCCGATATGTCCTTGTGCTAGAAGTATAATATAAAGGTCTGTGGTCTAGGAAGGCTGACACTTATGTCTCATATAATCGAAAAAACGGCGTCCAGTTGGCTTGGAAATGACGATCCTTGACATTCCCTATATAATTTTACATATAAAAGACACCGATCTTCATTTCATAGCCATCACTGACGCCGTTTTTTTTTCGATCATATTGTACCTACCACATGGTACATACCTACCTATCTCATATATCATATGCCTTATGGTTTTAAAGATGATAAATTGTCTTTTGTATTATGCGTATAGCTGTAATTCAAAAGAAATACATTTCGTAAAATACCACAATGTTATAGTGAATAGATTCATAATAAAATACTTACTAGTTTGCTTTTCCAGTTTAACGGTACTTATTTATCAGTTTTTAATCAGTTTTCCTTTGAGTTTCAGATTTCTTAACCTTAAAATTTTCACTCTTTTAAACCATCTCATTTTTGCTCATATTTTTATAATTACTTATTATGCCTAATACATGCCCGTGCTGTTTCCTGAAGAATGAATTTTTGTAAGCTACGATCTTGCAATTAAAACAATATCACATACCTGGAACCTGAAAGGACATCATGTGGGAAAAATAATTAAGAACATTTTTTCCGCAAATCACGGCTAATTTATTTTCAGGAATTTGTGGATAGCTTAATATTTTCTAAAAATTGTTAATCGTTTTACAGCTTTTGTTTGAATACATATTATCTAGATACACACCTGAGATTTCAACCCATGTAGACGTATTCTTATATAAAAAACACATTATCAAAGGTAATCGTGTTGCTATCACTTTCATTTTGTTTATGCTTTATTTGTAAATATTTCCGGATTATTTTATATCAGGTTCTATTACATTATTCATAACATTATTCGTCAATGTTCATAAAAATTATAATTTTAAACTTTTTCTGAGGTTAATCTTGTCAAATTCCAAAACAAAACAAGATTGAAAAGTATGCGACGTTGACAGATTTAGTACGTTAGCCAGGACAAAATTCCTGAAACAGGAATTTTTAGGACTACCGAACATGCCCGAAGTGACGTTCGGTTGGTAGGACAAATACCCCGTAGGACGAATACCGCCACCTCAGATTTCTAATTCTCGCCCGACCTACTCGGTTCGGCCGTCATCGGCATGGATCGAAATCCTTGAGATGTACATTCTACATGGAATGAAGGAAAAAAACGTGTTAAATTTGTCAACGTCGCTCCTCGCAGTCGCTATCGAGAGTTGAGACTCGAAAAGTTAGAGGCTGGCCAGGTGCTCCATACGTTAAGTTAGAAAGTGATATAAAAATAAAATGTAATAATTATGCAGACGCATTGAGTATTGATAATATTTTTAATCGGAAACAGTGTGGTATGCGATTAACTGGAAATTAAATTAAACATTTTTATATAACTGATACATCTTGTGAGGAAGGGTGAAGGAAAAAGAGACAGATGAAGCAGAAAAACAAACTAATTTTATTGGAAATTAAAACAAAATTGTAATTTTGACAGTTAATGTTTTTTTAGAACATTAGAACGTTATAGCACAAGCATCACGAAGGAGAAGCAGGAAACATAAAAAGGTAAATATATTTTAAAAACATATTATGTGCAGTGACTTTCTAACATAATTAATTCTTTTCAGAATCATGGTCCGTCATATACACAGCAAAATTTAAATAATTATATATGTTTAGAGCTTTCAAAATTAAAGATATATGATGTCATGAGAGTGTGTATTATTGGTTGCCTATGGTATAATTAAATAAATAAGAGCAGAGAATTCTAATAATGGCAATAATCCCTAGAGTCAATTTAGAGGTTAACAATTCTCTGGGTTAACTGAAAAAAAAAATGTTCTGGAGTCAAAGAGTATTTTATTTATAAAATTACCCAGAACATCACAATTAAATAATTTTGTATTTTAATTTAGAGACTCTAAGGAACGTTTTTAGGCTATTTTGAGTTTACTGAAGAAGTTTAAGGTACTAGAAAAAAACATTTTCCCCCAACTCAACCTTTTTACCACCCCTTAAATGATATTGCAATTCAATTTTAAGACCTTAATAAGGAAATTTTTTCAAAATATTTGGAGTTTATTCATGAACTTTAAGCCGGTCAAAATAAAGCATGGAAGTTGGTATTATATGAAATGGTTTATTATAAAATATAAATGTATGATAAAATAAAATAAATCAAACTGTAGTCCCTCTGGTATTCTAGTGACTGCGAACTGCGGGTGGCTGGTGAAAAACTGCTACTGAAGGTGAACGTAGGTATACCTACACCTACCTATAAGCAAAAAAATGTATGAGTAATGAATTTAACAACACCGTCAAATTAAAGATTGGGTAAAATACATTACATATTATTATTTAAAACAATATCTACCCAAAGTGAATATAATTTAAAATGTTAATAATCTTATTTTAATTATTAAGTCTAGGAAAGAAATGTGTCTTTCCATTTTAAAAAAGGTACATATCAAGTACATACCTTTTTGTTCTATTGTAACTATAGTAACTAACTAGACACCATTTTGCCACCGTTGCTGCTCGAACTACTAGAAATCACCTTCTTGGCAATAATCTGTAAAAATATACAGATAAAAATTTACGTTACACATTATTCATTACGAATTAAAATTATAATTCATTTTAAATTATTTGGGAGCCAACTACTGTCAAAACTATAACACCGAGACAGAGACCGAGGTACTTATTTTTACTTACCGCTAATATATTCCACTATTATTATTTTCACATCTATATCTTCATATAATTGCGGATCCAATCGGAGTTGGATTATCCAGCTGCCAGTACTTGTCCTCCACTTTGAGAGGATCTGAAAGTATTTTATTACAAATTAATTAATTACCTTGCACTTAAATACATGCTAATCAAGTTCCTTTTCTTTTTAAATAATCCTTCCATTTTCAATTCACAATAATTCACTCCGTTCAGTAACGAACAATAATTCACTCTGTCTGATATACTTACGAAAATATGAGAATACTGACAACAGTGTTTTTTACTTTCCGAAGACGTTCGGGCGCAATCGTAATATTAGGAAAAAGTAGAATTAGGAAATTCTTGGCGCTCCCGGTGGGAGCGCCGGTGGGAGCGCCAAGAATTTCCTAATTCTACTTTTTCCTAATAATACGATTGCGTCCGAACGTCTCCGGAAAGTAAAAAACATTGTTGCCAGTATTCTCATATTTTCGTAAGTATATCAATGGAAATGTTGTTCGTTACTGAACGGAGTGAATTAACAATTGAAAAATGGAAGGATTATTTAAAAAGGAAGCAGAAGGTAGGAACTTTCATTTGTGCTTATCTTTTGTAGCTATGTATTAAAAAAACAAAATATTCAGTATCCATAATGTTTCGGTTTACTTATAACTTGATTAGCATGTATTTAAGTGCAAGGTAATTAATTAATTTGTAATAAAATACTTTCAGATCCTCAAAAAAGTGGAGGACAAGTACTGGCAGCTGGATAATCCAACTCCGATTGGATCCGCAGATATGAAGATATAGATGTGAAAATAATAATAGTGGAATAGCGGTAAGTAAAAATAAGTACCTCGGTCTCTGTTTCGGTGTTATAGTTTTGACAGTAGTTGGCTCCACAAATAATTTAAAATGAATTATAATTTTAATTCGTAATGAATAATGTGTAACGTAAATTTTTATCTATATATTTTTACAGATTATTGCCAAGAGGGTGATTTCTAGTAGTTCGAGCGGTTCGAGCAGCAACGGTGGCAAAATGGTGTCTAGTTAGTTACCATAGTTACAATAGAACAAAAAGGTATGTACTTGGTATGTACCTTTTTTAAAATGGAAAAGACATTTCTTTCTAGACTTAATAATTAAAATAAGATTATTAACATTTTAAATTATATTCACTTTGGGTAGATATTGTTTTAAATAATAATATGTAATGTATTTTACCCAATCTTTAATTTGACGGTGTTGTTAAATTCATTACTCATACATTTTTTTGTTTATAGGTAGGTGTAGGTATACCTACGCTCACCTTCAGTAGCAGTTTTTCACCAGCCACCCGCAGTTCGCAGTCACTAGAATACCAGAGGGACTACAGTCTGATTTATTTTATTTTATCATACATTTATATTTTATAATAAACCATTTCATATTATACCAACTTCCATGCTTTATTTTGACCGACTTAAAGTTTATGAATAAATTCGAAATATTTTGAAAAAATTTCCTTATTAAGGTCTTAAAATTGAATTGCAATATCATTTAAGGGGTGGTAAAAAGGTTGAGTTGGGGGAAAATGTTTTTTTCTAGTACCTTAAACTTCTTCAGTAAACTCAGAATAGCCTAAAAACGTTCTTTAGAGTCTCTAAATTAAAATACAAAATTATTTAATTGTGATGTTCTGGGTAATTTTATAAATAAAATACTTTTTGACTCCAAAACATTTATTTTTTTTTTCAGTTAACCCAGAGAATTGTTAACCTCTAAATTGACTCTAGGGATTATTGCCATTATTAGAATTCTCAGCTCTTATTTATTTAATTATACCATAGGCAACCAATAATACACACTCTCATGACATCATATATCTTTAATTTTGAAAGCTCTAAACATATATAACTATCTAAATTTTGCTGTGTATATGACGGACCTTGATTCTGAAAAGAATTAATTATGTTAGAAAGTCACTGCACATAATATGTTTTTAAAATATATTTACCTTTTATGTTTCCTGCTTCTCCTTCGTGATACTTGTGCTATAACGTTCTAATGTTCTAAAAAAACATTAACTGTCAAAATTACAATTTTGTTTTAATTTCCAATAAAATTAGTTTGTTTTTCTGCTTCATCTGTCTCTTTTCCCTTCACCCTTCCTCACAAGAGTTATCAGTTATAAAAAAATGTTTAATATAATTTCCAGTTAATCGCCCCATACCACACCACTAATTATTATTTCTTGTTTCCGATTAAAAATATTATCAATACTCAATGCGTCTGCATAATTATAACATTTTATTTTTATATCACTTTCTAACTTAACGTATGGAGCACCTGGCCAGCCTCTAACTTTTCGAGTCTCAACTCTCGATAGCGACCATATAGCGACTGCGAGGAGCGACGTTGACAAATTTAACACGTTTTTTCCCTTCATTTCATGTAGAATGTACATCTCAAGGATTTCGATCCATGCCGATGACGGTCGAACCGAGTAGGTCGGGCGAGGTGGCGGTATTCGTCCTACGGGGTATTTGTCCTACCAACCGAACGTCACTTCGGGCATGTTCGGTAGTCCTAAAAATTCCTGTTTCAGGAATTTTGTCCTGGCTAACGTACTAAATCTGTCAACGTCGCATACTTTTCAATCTTGTTTTGTTTTGGAATTTGACAAGATTAACCTCAGAAAAAGTTTAAAATTATAATTTTTATGAACATTGACGAATAATGTTATGAATAATGTAATAGAACCTGATATAAAATAATCCGGAAATATTTACAAATAAAGCATAAACAAAATGAAAGTGATAGCAACACGATTACCTTTGATAATGTGTTTTTTATATAAGAATACGTCTACATGGGTTGAAATCTCAGGTGTGTATCTAGATAATATGTATTCAAACAAAAGCTGTAAAACGATTAACAATTTTTAGAAAATATTAAGCTATCCACAAATTCCTGAAAATAAATTAGCCGTGATTTGCGGAAAAAATGTTCTTAATTATTTTTCCCACATGATGTCCTTTCAGGTTCCAGGTATGTGATATTGTTTTAATTGCAAGATCGTAGCTTACAAAAATTCATTCTTCAGGAAACAGCACGGGCATGTATTAGGCATAATAAGTAATTATAAAAATATGAGCAAAAATGAGATGGTTTAAAAGAGTGAAAATTTTAAGGTTAAGAAATCTGAAACTCAAAGGAAAACTGATTAAAAACTGATAAATAAGTACCGTTAAACTGGAAAAGCAAACTAGTAAGTATTTTATTATGAATCTATTCACTATAACATTGTGGTATTTTACGAAATGTATTTCTTTTGAATTACAGCTATACGCATAATACAAAAGACAATTTATCATCTTTAAAACCATAAGGCATATGATATATGAGATAGGTAGGTATGTACCATGTGGTAGGTACAATATGATCGAAAAAAAAACGGCGTCAGTGATGGCTATGAAATGAAGATCGGTGTCTTTTATATGTAAAATTATATAGGGAATGTCAAGGATCGTCATTTCCAAGCCAACTGGACGCCGTTTTTTCGATTATATGAGACATAAGTGTCAGCCTTCCTAGACCACAGACCTTTATATTATACTTCTAGCACAAGGACATATCGGCAAGCCTTAGGTTGGTGTTTACGCGTGTAGGTGTGAATCGCTATGGTGATCTGGTCGGAGATAGAAAAATATAAAATATTTATTACATAACCACACTTAATCTGATGATTTCCTATGCATTCAATACCAAGTTCAATACATCTGATTGTAATAAGCATATTGGCCATACTCTTCATATACATGAAAATCGTATCAATCGTGTATCACATAGCACATTTAAGAGGACTGATCCTATAAAGGCATTTATTTTTGTTTTCTATTTATAACCTCGTTAACTCATTTATTTTGTAGATTTATTGAATATTAAGCTCTAGGATAAAAAAACCTGCTTAGACAGAACATGGGTATTTTCGAATACTTTATTTAGAAGATCTT